TTTTTTTTGTTTTCTTTCATTGAAAACGACCAACGTGACGGGGTAACCGATTTCGTCCCGGAGCGGTATTTCTCCGTTCAAAGGATAGAGCGCATTTTTCCTTCTCCCGGCAGACACAAGGCCGTAATCGCGGGCACGAAAGCACGTTACAAGAAACGAGCATAAAACGAGCGATAAGACGGACGATCGTTTAAGCGGCGAGATTGTTTCTTCGACGCTTAAGCGAATGTCATTTTTCACACAGCGAGCGTGTAACCGACAGAGACCTGGCCACCGGCTGGCTGGAACAGTCCGCGGTTCCTCGCCGGTTGGGTCATTGACCCAGTTCGTATTCTTTCTCGATAGCCATGTCCGGTTTTCACCAGGGACGATACCAGAAATATCCCTTTTGCCATTGGAGACGGCACGAACGTTCGCCACTGTAGCGATATATTCCTCGAGACCGAGGAGACGAACGCTGCTACACGCATTCTTTTTGCTTCGCGCAAGTGCACTGTCCACTCGTCGTCACGATAATCAAACGACGACGACGACGACGACGACGACAACAACTCTCCTCCTAACGAGAAAACGTTTACCAGTTTAACCGTTTACCCCGAAATTAAACGATTTATCGCCTTTAATCGTGGAGTTCAAAGCTCTGATTTCGCTGGAAGCGGCGCACGAACGGAGATAGCATATTTTCTTTCGTCTTCTTTGAAAGGAGAGTTAGATAAACGATAGGTAAGAGGAAGGTATCGGTAATCTATGTGTGTCACGAGTTTCATTGTGTCGACGTGTCTGACAACCCTCGGATATTTTTTTCTACCTTCGAAAATTCGTCTTCTCCACATACCAAGTGACACATAATATAGTGACACACGATTAACAACTGGTTTCGCGACTTTTCTTTGCTTTCTGCGACTCCGCGACTCCGAGAACCGGGCATGAATCGTGCGAATCGGTTTTCACCTGTTCGGAGCAGTTCGACTATTCGATTCAAACTTTGTAAAATTCGAACAGTCAATACTAATAAAACGACAAGGATAAGTCGATATTATTTAAGTATCGAAACGTGGTATTAATTTAAATATTAAATTTAAATATAATTATTTCATGTATGTCATAATATCATAATATTAATTATTAAGAATTCAAATGACAATACAAGTTAATAATATTAACGTTGAATTTAAATACGAGTGTTTAGAATTTGCAAAAGATTTAAACACAAATATTCAAGTATATATCTACTCGTGTCTGGAATTTTCTTTGCGTAACCAATCTTATACTTAAATACAATTAACCCGGGGCTTTCCTCGCGAATATCGAAGTGTAATAATCAACGTAGAATTTGCCCTGAAATTTCCGTTTCGAAAGGCCGGAGATAACAAACGAAGCGAGCACGAATTTCGATTGATAACAATTAGTGGAAAAACATGTCACGCGCGGAGCGACGGACAGGAGCCAAAAGAGTTCGATTAATTATCGAACGCGTACATCGAACTCCCCATAGCGAGACGATAACGAAAGGAAAATGATTCAGCTCGGACACAGCAGGCCAACAACAGATATACTTGATTCGCTGAAATCAGAATGCGCGGTTACAATCGACTTAGCCGGAATATTGATACGCGAAATCGTTTGCGCGTGTCTCGCGATAAACGCACTCTCGACCTTCGAAAACTTTAGCATGCATCGCGTGCATGATGTTTACACCTCGTTCAAGAAATTCGCCTCGTTTCTCTCGTGTTTCACAAATTCTCTCAAATCTATCTCTCAACTCTGTCTTTTTTTTTTTTTTTTCTTTTTCTTGCGATAAATTCTACTTCTACATTTCGACAATTCGAATTTGTTGAACAGAGAAAAAGAGAGAGAGAGAGAGAGAAAAAGTATACTCGACAAGAGTATAATCTTATCTGCCACCGTTATGGAAACGAAGCATCAGCTACCGGTCTGTTCGTCAGCGTTGCTCCGACTTTCCTGTCCCCTTTCTCTCAATCGACGCCTCTTCACACCTCGACAACGATCGTTCATCCTAAACGAATTCACCTCCCAACCGATCCCGAACGAACCGACTCGCGCTCGAAATCTCCGTCGCCGGTTATCTCTCTGGGTTACAATCTCGGGCAGCTCGGCTATCCGGGCTGAATTAAAAGAAAAAAAAAGAAAAAAGAAAACCGCGGGCATTTCTGCGGATCGTGGAACGAGACACAAAGTGAAAAGGGGGAGAGGCTAGTACGCCACCGTGTGCCGGAGTCCTCGTGCTACTACCGCACGTTATAACTGTTACGGGCAGGTGGGCACGCGTGCACGGAAACGTGATTCGATTCCTCGAATGTGTGCATACGCGCGAGAAACAGCCTGCTCGCGTAATCAAGCCTGCAATTTCTGATTGTTTACATGCGAGGGCATTGCCCGGATGCCGTTTACCTTACGTACATTCCAGGTGTTACCACTCCCTCCTTCTCGCCACCTCGCGATTCCAACCTCCTACCCAACCTCGCGAGGCGAACCTACCAACAACGCGTGCACGAACCGCGCGATCCATTCGCGATCGCACGGTCGTTCATTCGCTTGCGAGCAAAAAGTCAGCAGGCGTTAGACAGGCTCGAGATCCATTGGCGCACAGCTGTCACAGGCATTTGTAAGATTCGAATGACAATGGAGAAACACGATCCCTATGTCGTCTGTAGATCCACTGGCAGGCTCCAACTCTTCCTTCGACTGTCGCGCCGACGTTCCAATCCGACTCCTCGATTCGTCGCGCGCCACGACGATTTCTCCTCGGCCGGCGTTCGTTCAAACGCACGAAACGGAAATCGAGCTGGCCGGAAAAATGCAGCGACAGACATCTGGAAAGGTGAACGAATCTTCTCTCAGTCAATGAAATTCACGAGACGGCTGAAAGTATAGGATTGCGCTGAAACGCTGAAAAAAGAGAAATCGGAGTGCAGGGAGTAGGAGAAAGTTTATAATGTAATGAAAAATTCATTGTAAATATGTAATATAAATAAAGGACTGCGATATAAAATCAAATACACAACAAAGAGCTACAGTTCAAAGATCGTGTAGAAATATACAAATAGGTTGTTCTAGTGTGTTAAAATAGAGGGAACGCCTATGTACATCTTTAAAATCGTACCGTGTAAATGTAGAAAATTTCTAAAATGAAATGTAGAGAAAAGAAGCTCCACCAACAGATAGAAAGTTACAATTTGTCTCTGTCTACTAGCTACAAATGTAAATTTGTAGCTGATGTAAGGTATATAGGATTAAGAATACGATTAAGAATACACGTGTAGATCTAACGTGTGGATAGAACATGTGAGTTTGAGAAATGTAAGTTTTCTACGCCACGATTAGCCGACACTTGGCGCGAAAGCAGACTGTACTACAATATTAATCAACTGATTGCTTAATTGTTTAAACCATTGCACTAACGCTCTATTTATAAATTTTCTTTGGTCAATTTAGAGACTATTACAGATTGCAAATTTTTGAACTTCTATGAACTATGGAATCTAAATAAGACTCGTTTTATCTACCATATATTATAATAAATATTTTATAGCATAATATATGCATATAATTGCCAATTTAAAATGATCACAAATTAAAACATAAAATATAGATTGTACAATTATCATTTTAATAGATTTAATAGATTATATTATAATTATAATATAATAATTAATAACAATATAATAGCTATAAAGCCTAAAGGAATTATAACCGGAGAAATGAAACAAAAATAATCTACCAAACATCAATAAATGCTCTATCTTATTTTATAGGTATGTATATATATTCTCGTGTGTGTGCGCGTTTGTAAATTACACGTTCGTGCGTTTTGTAAATTTCTACAACTTTTGTAAAATCTCCCGAAATACGTATAGATAACGGTTGATAGACTGCGTAAACATCAGCAAGCTATCCTTCAGTTAAATCCTAATATGGGCTAATTAAGGACGAACGCGGCTGAAAGCGGCCGTCTTGTGGATGCACGGGCAAAATAATAACGCGCGTTATAAATATCCAGGATAGAGAATTGAAAAGGGAGAACGAGACAGGGAACGAGTCGTGTCGGATGATTTTTAGCGATATCCACGCCCGCACAATCTATTCTCCCGAACGGGTTTCCTTTCTAACGGCTAATAACGGGGCCCCGAGTCTCGAGTTGGGCACGAGAACGCGGTTTTTGACCGCCCGTTATTCCTTCTTCGTGCCGTCTCCCGAATCTGTCTGTAGAAGCCCCCCGTGGGACCTTCGGCTGATCCGTTAGAAACCATAGCGAAGTCTCGCCACGCGGCCGTATTAATTCTCGAATGTCACTGCTACGGCTGCTTCCTCGCCCCCTTTCCATTCCTCCACCTCCCCTCCCGCCCCTCGATTCGTTTACGTCTGCAACATTGTGCACGAGTACGCGTTTCACGTTTTCACTTCCCCTTATCTTATCATTATTATTTTAACCCCAGTTCTATTCTCGGTTCTTGCACTCAAATTTTTATATCTTTTTCAATACTTCAATACTTCAATACTCAGTTTTTTTTTTTTTTTGGCAAATAACCTGAGAAGGATTCATGGTGCTTTAAGAAAATATTTAACATCGAATTTTATAGTGTATAGTATAGAATAATATAGATTTTATAGAAATTTATAGTGTGGTACAGGTAATAGAAGATCTTTCATATTTTGTTTCTCGTTAACATTGGTAGGATCCTCAAATTCTCATCACTTTAGTTTAAAATGCATACATGATAAATAACATGATAGCAATGTACATTATGATGTACGCCGATGAAAATTTTTTTCATATTTTTCATATTTCGTTTTTTACTAATCATTGCCAGAATCAACGAATTTTTATCTTTTTTATTCTTTTATTACTGGAGTCTAGAAATTTTAATTTCATGCTCAATTTAGGGAATGGAATTTTTAATGAAAAAGAAAGGTCATAGAATTTAACTGAAAAATAGTGCACGCTAATAAAAATTTTAATTTCGTCTTTCCGAACAACTAATTCTGAATACTAATGTCATACATACGATACTATTCTCAACTGAAACTCGACTATTATGCTTATATTGGTAAAATTTGAAACAGATCTGGAAATATACATTTCGAGCATTTCAGACATTTGAAGAATGTTAAGATTTCAAAACTGATGATATCTGAGTAAATAAATACCTAAATATTATTCATATTAATTAATTATTCGCATCAATTCTTCAACCTTCACAAAAACGTAACGTGTGATAGGTAATTTCATAATTAAATACTTAATCATGATATTGTTCTTCATATTATTCATAACATTTAATATATTCTTATTTAATATATTATACCTATATATATGTGTGTGTGTGTGTGTGTGTGTGTAATGTTTGAACGCTCAATTATTCATTATATTAACATGTTACGTGTGCCACGCAAAATTTATGCATTTTGTCCTCATCATTTTTATAAAACATTATGTCACAATGAAAGTAGATTTTTTTATTCTAAAATATCATATACATTTACTTGTGCGCTATTTAAAAATCATTTGTCGATGATTTAATTTAATCTTACCTTGCTAATCTCAGGTTACCAATATAACACGTTGACTGCCATGTAAAATCTTTATGTTTTGCCTATAGCGAATAAATTTATGATAAACCGGCACATTTCTCGTATCACAGTATCATTTAGTTATTTACGTTATTTAGAATTCCTTTGTCGATTTTATCTAGTATTATATTGTCTTACTTTATCCTATTTTACTAGTCACTAGAAAATATATATTTAGTAATATAATAAAAGCACGTTTCTCGTCTTATAGTATTATATCCAGTTATTTTAATAATCATTTTGTTTCAATGTTTGATCCTGAAATATTTTCCATCTAGAAACTATTCAGTCACTAACGACTGGACTGCTTTTTATACAAATTTATGTTTTTGAGAATACAATTAAAGAGAACCTAAGACAAATAATTGCAAAGATAAAATTTTACATACATATTATAGAAAGCACTAAATAGAACAAAATAAAACGAACATGTGCCGATTTACACTGGTGCTGTCTCGCTATTCGAAAGAATTCGGTATAAGGATAATATAAAAAAAATATAAACACTAAAAACGCAAAATATTAGCATCGTTTCACTTTAAGAATTATTGAATTATCACGAGAAGATAAAGATTCATTAATCAACAATCAATCACGAGAGTTTAAGAGCGATATTATTATTCAAAATTTTCGCGTCGTTAGAAATCTCTACTAGAATTCAAAAATTTAATTTCTTTTCGTAACAAAACAAGTTGTTCTTTCGCTTTCAAATCTTCTCATAGAAATTCCCACAAAAAGTTCCGCCACCACCGTAGCGAAAATCAATCATTGCAGTTACGTTAAAACGAAACTTCCCTCCTCCCCCAAAAACTGAGGGACGATCAATCCTCTTCAATTTCGAAACAGATCGGCTGCAGATCGCCTACCTACGGCTCGCGTCTTGGCTAATTGCGATTCGCAAAAAAGGACGTCGTACATATTGCGGGCACGTGTAATATACGTGCGAGTACGTAACACTGGGGATAATGCCGGGTGAAGGACCGAACCGTGCATCGGATGGATGAACTGGTTGTCCGGCTGGTCGTGTGCTCGGTTGCTCGATTGCTCGATTGCTCGATTGCTCGATTGCTCGGCTTGCTCGGCTTGCTCGCCCGTTACCATCACTGACCACTGCCAATGGGTCGATAACCTGAGACCTCTTTCGCAGCCGAAATTTTCGAAGCTCGTTCTAGCATGTCGGATCGGGGCACGAAACGTGGAACACGCGCCGCCGCGCGCCTGTACGAACCACGGGAACACGAAATGTGGAACACATGGAGCACGCAACAGCCAACATCTTTCCCGCCTCTTGCTCGTCTCGTCTTCTCTCTGTCACCGTTTTCGTTCGTCGCTCGAAATTCATTTCGTCGCGGTTGTTATTCCGTGGTATCGTGAACGTGGACCGGGCAAAACGCAACTCTATTGCGTGCGAAAATTTGAATGCCGATCGCGGAGAAAATGTGGTCTGATTTTTACGCGTGCTTGGACGTTTGTGAAAACGTGATTAAAGAATTGGACGTAATTGCAGAGATAAAACATTTTTTGTAATCAGAATTAATGCTCTTTCTTGCGTCGCGTGCACGTTTGGATCTCGAAATTTTTCATAATTGTAGTCTATGAAAAATCCGCAGTCTACTGATTGAACGATCGAAGATTATGATAAATTATGAGAAATAATGATTAATGAATACAATAATCAAAATTTTCGAAGATTGTAATCATTTTAAATATCGCGGAAGAAGGGCACCTCTCGAAATCTCTGATTCGTCAAATCTAAATTACTCTAAAATTTTCGCTTGAAATGTCAAACGAATAAAATTACGTTAAAACGTAAAAGAGAGAAGCATGGTTTGGTTAGAATGAAAATGAGCCACTTCAGAAAACTTGGCTGAAAATTTGTAGGACACAAATAATTCACATAACCGTTGTCCATCGATTCTCCCTTCTACCAGTGATCTTTCATTTATTTCTAACGATACGAACAGTCCAGGCTCGATTAAACGAATAATCGAACCAGAAATTGTGTTCGTTCTGAATCGAAACTGAAGTAAACTCGATTTGAACGGGCCGTCAGTTCACGCGAAACACACCCGCGGTTTCCAATGAATGAACATAATCGGCGAAAAAGAAAAAAAAACGAAATAGCACCGGCCGCTATACGTAGACAAGCAATAAATGGACACCGGGGGCTTTCCAAGTCCGCGGGGGCTGCGACAATTCACCACGTGCCCAATTTAACAGCCGAATTGGCGCGCATTCCGTATCAACCTCGATTCCTTTCCTATCTCTCACTCCCCCCTCCCACCTCACCCCCCCCCCCGCCTCTTTCCTCGTTTCCT